AAAAAAAATTAAATATTAATTTTGAACCAGCCTAATGTATATATCGCAAATGAAATTCGTGATTATTTGCTTTGCTTAAAGGCTTCCAGAAATTTTTCGAGGATGGCATTTCTTTCTCCTTCAATTCTGTCGACGTTCTCCTATTCGCCGCCTGGAATTCCTCCAAAAACTCATTTTGAATGTTTACTGATACATTTATTTTTCTTTGCAGATTCCTCGTCTGCATCCTTTGGAAACAACAATTCTTGTGTGAATCTAATCCAATCATCGGCGAGCTATTAAACGATGATTCATAATCTTCTACAATTTCGTTAACTGTAATAAATTAGTTTATAAAAATAAATACAAACTTTTCAAAATACTGTTTTGTTTCACTCACCTGTGCTTTAATAGCTGTCGAGGATACAATTTATTTTCCTATAGTATTCCCAAGTCGACGGGCTGCCACCACAGGGACCAAATGATCTCTTTTCATCTTTGTAAATAGCTTTATTTTTTGGAAACTTTTATATGAATAAATACATATGCATATTAAATAAACTTACCTGTATTTGTTGGTCAAATTGTTTAACGCCACGAAGCTGCGGCAATTTAACTTCTTTCCTGTTCCACTTTGACCTATTTTTCATGATAAATTTACAAATTTAGGTATATTTTAAATTAATGTTTTATCGGCCATTTTTGATTACTTTGTCATTTGACATTTCTCCTTTCCTTTGCAAAAATTATCAATAAAACTGGGAACAACACCGCAAATCTAGTTGTATAATCGAAGATTAAAATATAATCTCGGATTTAAAAGAGAAGAATTGTGTATGGTAAATATCGTTTCTTAATTACAGATTATCGAGTTAAGCTCGTAAATGGAAATAATCTTGTTATATGTAAACATGTTATAAATTAAGAAAATAATTTAATAATTGTTACGATTTAATTTATCGTTATTTTTATAGGGCAAAACATAAGACTAAATCTCAAAGTGTCATAATTATTGAGTTTATGGAAAATATCTAGATATTTTTAGAGGATACACAAAACGTTATTTAACACCCAAATACGTTGTTATTTAGACGATAATGAGATACAAATCTGTAAAGTAAGCATTTATACAAACATACCAGTAAATACAAGCCGACTCCCCTGGTGCATTAGATGGATCACTGTGATTTTTTAATATCTTCCTTTTAATTTTTTCGTTGCTTTTTTCTTCCATTAAAATAATAACTTAAACAGCGGAACTCATTGTAAACTTTAGTAGACTTTATTCGGAACTCCAAATTCATCAAACGCTTTCAAATTTATTCATTTGCACACAGTAGTAAGCAGCTGATTCGAATATTGGTTTTGCATTTTTTTCGAAAAGACAAAAATCCAATCAGATTCTGTGACACCATTGAGAATCATAATTGGTTTGCAATTCTGACAACCACGCAAATCTGTCTTGGATTCCACAACACCCCTGAGTATGTCTCTATGTCAAAAATGGCTTTGATCGGGCAATACTTCCTTTAGCCCCATACACCAAATGTGTAGATTTTCGAACTTTTAGCTCATCTAAAATAGCTCAAAAAAAAACTTGTCCTAACTCCCCTATGACTAATATCAGGATTTTCAAACATCCGGTTGACTTTACTCCTTATATATTGGTGATGTTTTTTTCTGTTTATAATATGTAGTAATGCCAAAACTACATAAAACCGGGCCAATACTATATATACCGTATATATCGCTTTATATGTAAGATATCTAACAAAATTAACTTAACGTATAATATTGGATATACTATGTGGTAGTTTAATACTGAAAATATGTGAAAATATATTATACTAGATACATGTAATTATTTTGAATATTCTAACAAACCTTATGTAGAATATGTCGGTCAGTGTGTGAGTTATTTTCTTATAGAATACTTCAAAATATATTATCGAGTATACCTGAGCAATGTCAAAGGTTAATGCAACAAACCCAAAGTGATTTCCGACATTCCAGATGATCGTTGACCATTTAGGTAGGTGAAAATGTGTGATAATTTAATGAATCTAAGTGGGTAAGTTTTCTTAAAAATATTAAAATTGTATAATATTAATCGTTTAGGGCTGAATATGAATGGAGTTTGTGTGGACCTTGATCTAAACCTCATATGCCTTACATAATGAATTCCGATCCTCAGGTTGATGTATTCCACATCAACTCAATATATTAAATTTAGTATCTTCGGTTGAGTTTATATCACATATACTTCATTTGAGGATAATTTTAATATAATTTTAGCTGACACGAAGTAAAATATACCAATAAAATTAAATGAATATATTACTTAATAAAACACCAACTTTTTGGCCACACCTAAATATTTTTCACTGGCATTAATCCTTTCAAGTTCCGAAAGTATAAAATGTTCCTTACTTGTTTATTATTAAGTTTTGTCAGCACCTCAAATTACTTCTCCGGCTTAGGTCCTTGTAAATTGCGAGAGTATAAAATATTCGATTACAACCGAATTTAGCCCTTCTTTACTGGTTTTAATTACAATTACAAATACAATGTAATAATAGTACAATTAAAATACGCTTACATATTTTGTTAAATTTATGCCTAGTATAATAATACCTATATTCATAACGAGCAAATATATTAGCTTAGACTTGATTATATAATATGTGTATAATAAATGTGTAAAATGGTTCTTGCTACATAATTTTTTATAAAATAGCATATCCTACACTTTAATGAGAAAAAACGCTAGTAATAAATAATAACAATACGCACAAATATATTGTAGGAATATGGAAAATGTTTTATTGCACTCGTTGTCATTGATTTGATTTTTATTGCCATTGTCTTTGTTGTCTTCTCCTGCAGTATTGTTTTGGAACAACAATGCTTAGAAAGAAAATTGTCATGCATGTTATTGCTTGTGCTCTCAGTGCTCACATTAATTAAATTGCTCGTTGAGAACAAAACATTGCAGTGTTTTGTTAAATGAACGAATGACTTGAAACCAACTGTAGTAAGTCGATTTGTGCAACTGTTTAGTGCGGATTAATATTCATATCTCCTAAACTACCAAAGTTATTTTGATACCTAAGACATTGTATTTCTCTTCTTTTCTTTTTTTCTTAAAAATATCTTCAGAAATATACACATATATTCACACGTGAAGCAAAAATTGGGCAATGGACATACGCCTCGCCGACATATAGGAAAAATTCAATATCGCACAAGTTGCTTGACAGGTAAAATTAGACGAGGCTAGTGCTGCTGTTATGTGGCAACCAAATTTATATATATTTATTATAAAATTATCTGAACCCCTTTTTTCGATTATTACATGGAATGACGCCAAAAATTAGTGAAAATATCCAATTATAGATCAAAAAAAAAAAAATTCTCGCACCTTGTGTTGGAATCCATATTAATTAAAATCTATAATAACATTTAATAAGTGGAATTAAAGCAAGCTTTGTGGCAAATGTTCCGTTTATCGAGCATACCACACTTTTCTCACAATAATACAAGTATTTTTCGATCAATATTACTGCCAGTTTATATAAGGGTTTTTTTTCATTTTTTATGTGGTTTAAGTGATTTAAAAACGTGTTTTATAGTTTTTTCAAACTATATTTTTTAAAGATGAAAAGTGAATCCGAATTGAATCAAAGTTTTGAATCTTTGGGTAATTTTTATTCCAGCACATTTGGATTGTCAGACTCACCTTTTGGCTTTAAAAAATATAGCCATTTTCAGGAGGAGAAATTTCAGCCAGTATAGCGTGTCGATTTGAACTATTTACAGTTTGAGAGCTGGGCTTGTGCGCATTGGTTTTTGCTTTCTGACATATGTACAAGGTACAATTCAAAAGTTCCAGGACTTTTTAAGCAACGCGGCTTCTAGTGGCGCCTTCTGTCTGAAATTGTTATCCCTCAAGTGTGTATTCTTCAGTGTTGTCGTATAAAATTTATATAACAGCTGACTTGTATAACAGCTGAGATATCGCGCTACATGTGACATTACATTTGTAGTGTGGGTCGAAAAATGAACATCGAACAAAGAGCCAACATTAAGTTTTGTTTTAAACTTGGTAAAACTTTTACCAAAACTAATCAAATGATGAAACAAGTTTATGGCTATGATTGTCTATCCCGTAGCCGTATTCACAAGTGGTTTAAACGTTTTCAAGAGGGACGGGAGGACTTGGAAGACGACGAACGTTCGGGCCGGCCAAAAGATGTTGTGAACGAAAAAAACACGGAAATTGTGAGTGAATTCATTAAAAAAGAGCCGAAATCATCGCTTAAATATATGGAATCGGAATTATTAATATCCGCAGCGTCGATTTATCGTATTTTGACAGAAAATTTGGGCCTCAGAAAGGTTTGTGCTCGATTTGTCCCGTACACTTTGAAACAACACGAAAAAGACCTCAGAATTCAACATTCAAGAGACATCATTAAAGAGGCCAAAAAGAACCCAAACTTTTTGTTCGCCTGATATGGCACCCTGCGCTTTTTATTTGTTCGGAAAACTACATTTGGCCATGAAAGGAAACAGCTATGCTGACGTTGATGCCATCCAAAAGGCGACGACCGCCATCCTCAACGCTATACCGACAAATGACAAAAAAAAAGTCATTCGATAACCTTCTTGAACGTGCAAAACGTTGTATTCAGGCGGAAGGAGACTATTTAAATAAAATAAAATAAATAATATTCGTTTTTTAATAAAAGTCATGAACCTTTTGAATTGCACCTTGTATGTATACTCTCTTGTTTTACTGAAGAATCAGTGTTAATGTTTTCTATTACACAGTTTTTTGGGGCTCCCTTTTCTACTGCCAGCTTCGGAGTATTGTTTTTGCGCTTGATTGGTGCAGAGAGCCATTTGATGATGAGTTGTTTTATATTTAGGGAAATTTTTTCAAAATTATCGTTACTTGAAGAAACAAAAAAAATTATTTTCTATGCATATAAGGTATTTTTTATCAACAAAAAAATGAGTAAATACACTTGCGCTTATTTATTTTGCTTTATTGATAGTTAGCTACATTCGAATTATACAGAATGTTAATTACTTCGTTATTTTACATATCACGGAAAAATTTCCGATTAGTTTGCCATTTATTTAATGCATAGTTATATAACACTGACTACAAGTATAATTAATAATTATTTAACAAAAATTTCGTTTTTGTCCAGGTATTATATAGGCTAAGTAACTTAAGTAAAGTACAATTATTAAACGTTTTGAAATAAGAAATTTTTGTCATCATATACATACATATAGGATGTACGTAACTCAATGTATGTAGTACATATACTTAGGCATATAAAGAAAAATAATGGCGAAATGTGAAGATTGGCAATTCAAAATATCATTTTCATATGCCATATATGTATATATAAAATAAATAGTACCATCCCTGCAAAAGTGCGACGAATCAAGAATTAGTCGCAAAGGATATGACCTTTGAAGAGGTCGCCTGGAATGATGAAAAATAATGCTAATCGTTTTAAAGGTTGTACGGATCTAAATTTAACAACATTGAATTGTCTGCTATTATTTTATTATATTTATTATTTCGTTTCGAACTGTATCATATTGAAAGTAATACGTGTATGCTCATATTAAAGACAATTTTTTGTTGAGATATAATTACATATATAAGTATGTATATAATAAATATGTTCACGTACATACACATAGTCATACAACTATTTTTGTTTAAAATTATGAAAAAAATTTACTTGCAAATGAAGGTAAATATTTTTTTCTGCATAGTTTCTTCTAGCAAGGACTAGAATTTTAATTTCGTTTCTCTATGAAATTCACATAATATTTTAAGTATATATTGAATACATATTTTTCACTTCCATTACGAAAAGAGCATCATATGTTCATATGTTTATGTCACATTAGTTTGAGACAATAAAATGCAATAAATAATATGGATAATAACTAAAAAAGTATTTGTAAACAAAGTTACATAAGTAAACTAATTTGTAAAAATAAATATTGTGTTTTAAAACAAAAACAAAAAACTTGTTTTAGTATATAAATATATAGAAGCCAAAACTACAAAAATCACAGTCTCTAAAGAAAACTATATTATTCTATTCGTTGCGGCAGAGGCGATATGTAAATACCAATCTTGAGTAATGCCTTTTGAATCATCTAATCATCTCTTATGGACTGTTGGTACTGGGAGCGTTTGTATTTATGAATGAATGTAAAGGCACAAACAGTCACCGAGGCAAAACCGTGTTCCGAATCAGCTGATACGACCTATCTTATGAGAGCGCAATGTTAATGATCAGTCACCACCGCTACTACCGTCCGTTTCAACAGACCGGATTTTTCCCGTAGAAACGGGTGAACTGAGAGTGAGAGAGCAATCTCTTGTAACGCAGGTTGTCAATCTCGATATTTTGTAGTAATAAAAAAATGAACTTGAATATATTTAAAATATTCTTAAAATAACTCAAAATCACAGTCGAATACATTTATTTATAAACATTTATTTATTAATAGGTAAACTATTTTTAATAGTTGGATTTTAGCTTTGAGCTTTTACATTAAGAAAAATTATAACTAAAAACCAAATGTGTGAAAAATCGTGTATACAAATTGAACAATGGCAACATTGGTGTAATGAAAACAAAAGAGAACAACTCATTTCTGCGTTGTAACTACGGGCATAACTTTTGACAAATTTGGTTTGATACGGGTGGTAAGTAAGGAAGGGAGGAATGTCGGTGACTGTTTGGGCACTAAGATTTGATGCGTATTGCATAAATTAAATTCATATTTGTGTGTGTTACTGTCGATGTGAATTCTTTTGAAGATTTTTTAAATAGACTTATAACCTATGCTTCTAAGTTTATGTATATATGTATGTAAGTGTTAAAATCTAATTAAGTTAAACGGCCTACTGAACAGGGAAGATTACACATTACATGCTTATGGATTTTGTGTGTAATGTTTTAAGCGGTTCATGGATGGGATAATTCTTTGGATTACTACTTTCGTTTAAAAGGCAGGATAAGTTATAGAATATTCGGGATGTAGCTGATGTTGTTTGTGAGAATGGTGAGTACGTCGATGAGTGTTGTGTCGACTATAAACTTTAAATTGTAGACTACCATTTTGGGATTGGTTAGATTCAAGATGAGCCTTTTGTTTCGAGGTGGCTAATCGGTTATCCTGCTTTTCAATGTTCACACGTAGGTTACGCTTATTACTACGATGGTTATGATCGTGATAAGCTATGTGAAAGCTTTGAAGGGCAATATTTTGGTCGGATTGGCGTTTTTTTGCGCTGTGCTTAGGTTCCGCATCACTCGATGTGGACAATTGGAATAGATTATCAGCGGTCAGAGTTTTTTCTGATGTAGAATGTTGCTCATCCGGTTGGAAGTCTTCCTCAGAGGTCTTAGAGTGGTTAAATAATTGTCGTCGTAAGTTTCCACGCAACATGTCGTGAACTTCTTTTTTAATATTTTTTGGTGCAAATGATGCATATCCTATCAATTTAACATCTAATCTTGGATATCTGAAAATTAAAAAAAAAAACACTAAATTAAATTTGGAAACTAAAATTGCAGATTTTAAGAACACAATGAAAATAATAATAATTTGGACAGGAAGTCAAGGCGATTTATTTAATGGCTTGCGTAGTTTTGCTAACCTTGGCACTTCGTGCGCTGCAAAAGGAGACATAGACGTGTGCGGTCCGTAGTAATTCCACGGGATTGCAAATTCTGAAATACAAATATGAAGTAAAAATAATATTATCGCCTTTTGGATTCCTTACTGTAAAACAAAAGCACATATTTTTGAAGCTTTGAAGTACGTATTTACACTTCTTATATTAGCGCATGCGGCAAACAGTTTAGTCACACAAATTTACATACATATCACTGCCAAATCAATTATAAAAACGGGCGCGTACTTTTCAAAATTAATAGTATAATACTTCACACTATACAATGCGTATATAATATAATGATCAATGTACCCATTCCTCAACCATTAGCATAGATTCCTACATTCATATAATAGTGAAAACAAATATATAATAAATATTTTAAGCTATCATACTACTTCTGCTACTTACTTCAGCAAATGTAAATTAGACCTAAAATTGTATATACCATATACTTTGGAAGGCAATGTTATCGAGTGTTTTCTAGTTACAACGCGTTTAAAGACAAAAAAAACTGAGGTGTAACTCGAAAAAATATGTTCGAAATATTCTTTTTTGTATGCTATTTTTAAAGATTTAGACTATCGAAATATGCGGAAACAAAATAAATGTTTTTTTCGAATTTTCATAGGTTGAAATTATCTAGTCAGTCTACATACACTTACTATATTTATTTATTTGCCCCAAAATAATAAACAACTGTGCTTACTTTGTTGTTTTGAAAAGGTTATTATTATATATTTATATATATAATATTTACATTATTCTGCACCTACGGTTTTAAGTGTGTAATTGAATCAAATTATTCTTTTGAATAAAGCAATAACTTATATTAGCCAAAAGCTACGACAAATCATGCAAAATCAACAAAAGTATAATGAGTCTTAAACAGCGCAAACTTAAAACAGCGATCATTTTTAATATTAATAAGTTTCAGTACTTTTACACTGAATAATAATATTCAGCTCACAAACAACTAAAAACCAGAAACGTAGAAAAGCAATGCATATTATTTCACAACAAATACACATATGCATACATTTGTAAATATTGCGTCCTTACCGAGTCGGATTTCATTTTTTTGTTTTTGGAACTTTTGCAGAAATATTGAATTTAGTAGGGGTTAAGGAATTCTGCCTACATTGTTAAAAAGTCAAAAGGAAACTCATGAAGGCTGAAACTTAATGACGAAGAATCGGATTTGCCAACTACGAAGTGTCTGATTTACAGCGTCAATCTAGACATTATCGTCATAAAAGCGAGCCATTCAGCTGAGCTTACGTAAGTATATAAACAAATTATGTACATACGTTTTTCTTGGAATGAAGTGTTGCATATACTTGTAGTATATGTATGTTTGTACATACATATGGAAGTATGCAAATGTTATGACTTAAACGTTTAAGGAATGTAGTGAGTTTCTTCAAATCTAATTATATATTTAATAAAAACTGTATTTTGAAATCAGTTCTACTTGTTAAAATGGCGGTGTTATTTAGGCATGGTTAACGCAACACATACCTGCCTGATCACATTTGGGTGGATTGAAAAACAGTCCCGGCTTGAGTGGATTCTCCTCTTCGTCATGTACTTCGATCATCAACCAGCCAATTTGAATAGGTTGCTGGCGAGATTGCTGCTGCTGTTGGCGTTCGACACTTTCCCAAATGTATATGGCGCGCCTGATGTCAATCTCGACCCACCCGGTTTTGGATATATTCATCATTGTTGTATTGCAAATATGCTTCTTACGTTCTGAAAATTAATGATATGAATAACTTAGTGCGACTTCAAAAAATTTGTGAGTAACGGAGACATACCTCGCTTGTTTCTGCGCAATTGTCGTACAATGGAAACTGTAACACGTATTTGTGGAGTTAGCTAGTGAAAGAATATAAGGAAATTTCGCATTTTGTTTGCCTATATGCCTCAATATGGTTCGGATTTACCGTTAGAGGATCACCACAGGTTTTAGTCTCTTTGTCACCATCGTCGTTTAATGCGTTGGGATCGTCTGTATTGTTTGGATTGACTTTATATAGCCGAAGTATTGCGCTGTCCAGATTCAAATTGTCACGCTTTGGTTCAAAAAGACTGTCAGAAAATCGAATTGTCACGTTGTTGTCATGCATCCAGGAGCTTTCGGTAGACTCTGAGTTGCATATGGGGTATGCTGCTATTTCGTGCAATGGGTGACCTTGAGTCTCATCTGAATTACTTGCTTGGAAAGCTGATTGCAAACGATTCTTTATATCATTAATACTGTAAGATATAAATCAAAATTGATGATTTGTGATTATCAACATAATATATACGAAAGCTACATAGATAAAAATGTAATGCTGATGCTGACATTTCGTACTTTTGTCTTTTAAATGCATTACCTATTACAATTCCAACTATCTACATACATATATATCATTAGTTAGTTAAAAAACAATTTTGCAGCCATGGTTAGGTATTGGCATAATTCTCAGTTAAAAGTTTTTCTACAAATTCTTTTTTCATGTCACTCGTAATGTTATTTTGGAATTGGACCAGAGGGGGAATTACCGGAGGGGTCTACAACTTAAAGCTATCACTTCCCGGTCCAACATACTAACTATTTGTCTGGAAATACATATTATTGTGCTAGTCTTGCTTAATATTTTGAATAATAGTTATATATATGTATGTGTATTATATATTTTGAATTAAACACTCCCCAATACTTTTTAATAATTTAAATTTTTTGCTCTCAATTTAAAAACGGTCTGCCTTAATAAACGCAACCACGTTTCTATCGCAAAGTATACATATATATGTAAGTATATTTCCTTCTGTGTCTATAGAGTTGTTTATATTAGGTCTACCTTTCGGAAGGGTACGAAAATAAATAAGAAAAAAAAAGAAAACATTACAATTAGAACACACACAAAAAATTACTGTAAGGGCTGTAATAGTTCAAGGGAGGAGTAAGACTTTTTAATTGTTTACCTTACATGAATGTATAATATCTTAAAAATGGTGAATCTAAATCGAGCAAAATTTACGAAGTTTCGAGCTTGTTAGAACGTTTTACAACAGATTTCAAAACTTTAAAGTGTTTAAGCCACAACTCACGTTTTCAAAGAAAAACGATCGTATTGAAATTTTAAGCACTATTTCTGCTATAATTTCCGAGATTTTATTTTTTAATTTGGTAATATTTTTCATTTTACAATAAAATAGATTCTAACTGTTTCATCAAAAAAAAAATATATATAAAAATGGGTCTTGTTTCACACGAATTAACCCTACTCTAATTTAACATTAATCAAATGCATGTCACTTAAACATCGAATCAAACTACGCTAAACGAAATTCATTAGCGGGATATCAATTGTATTGGGATATTTTCCATTAACCGATACTACTTCCTAACATACTTCTCTTCTTTTATGTTTTTTTCTTGTTCCATGACAACACAATTTTGTTGAGGTCTATGCAGTGTTTTAATTATTACTACTTATTTGATGTAAACACGTATTTCTTATTATTTAATTTATTCAAATGAATACAAATATTCCAATACAAACCAAAGTCATGGCTTCACTATATAAAATGTACAAGTATACAGTTTCAAATTCTTTGAACGGTTGCAAGAGCGCTCGGTTTCAAATGAATTCGTTCACAAATTTGAATTCTGTTATCTATTTTTTGTATGTAATATGCAAATATGTATACATAGAATAATAGAAATATTTTGAAAAATTGTAAATAAGGAGAAAATTAAGATACTCAAAAATATTTAAATTACATTTTTAAGAACACATAGCGGTATTAAATGTAATAGTGTACCAGTATACATAAAATAATTCTAATAAAAATGATAACTTTACTTTTTTATATTAACATAAAATATTAAGTTGCTTTCATATGTATTTCTTTTAACCGCAAAGGAGTTAGTTCGATTATTATTTTATTTAAAATGAGAACTGTAATTAATTCAAGGATGTTTTATAATAAATAGACAAAAATATGGAGTAAAGAAATTATGAATTTTTAATACTTAAAGATTAGGAAATTCCTGTTATAAATTTGGCCTTGAAAATATTAGTAGCGGGTATTCAATACATTCTGGTGGATTAGGGAATTCCCGTCTTTAGTATTTCTTTGAAACTATTAAGCGGGTAGGTATTATGCTTATTGTTCTACCACATTCAAGCTAATTCATTGTAAGCAAAATGTGAGACCATCATCCCAACATACAAATGAAATATGCAACACGCTCTAAGTGTTGGGCAGTCGAACCGCACAAATATTTACGAAAATTTTCTGAAAAGGAATGCAGAAAAACTAGACTCAATTTGTTAGACTCTTTTTGCTCGTGTGAATGCACAGAGCGACACCAAAAGAGAATTTTACGAAAACGAGGGTCAAAAAAATCTGTGTGTAAAAGCCGTCTTATAGAGTCCAGATGTCTTTTTATCTACATAAGTATGTATATACAGTGGTGGCCACGAATTTAGCACACACGTCATTGTTTTTAGTAGGCATTTTTCCACTGATCTAAAACATTTCAGGGAAAAGTCCAGTTTCTGGTTGGCACTTCTGCAATTCCGTTACTTTTTACACGTTTTATTTTCATCAGTTATAAAATAAACGCGGTTTTTGTCAATAGTATTGATTTAAAGCTGGACACGAATTTGGCACATTTTCTAGTTTGGTGATATTCGGTTTAAGTTTTGGGGTGGACAACAATTCATTCGAGGTAAGGTAATTATAAACAGAAATTATTAAACTAGTTTATAAATATTGTCGATTGAAACTAGAAATAGCAAAAGGTCGCTGATGTTCAGAAGCAAAGAGGGATCTAATCCAAGCAAAACTTTTACTAAAGTTTGGCACAACAAAAAACGTAAAACAGACTCCACGACCGTGAAAAACGTCTCCAAATGAGAACGAAATAATTCGAGGGATTTTTGTTAACCGTTCAGAAGCTCCAAGGACATACAAGGACATACAGAAGGAATTCGAGACGAACTACGATATTGCTGTATCCTTAAAAACTGTGAGACGTCCGCTGATTAATCGAAATTTTGTAGATTCGAATATGATGGAAAAATGTATGTGGGCGACCTCAAAACAAGCAGTACGATCCAAGGTACACAATCAAAACCGTTTTACATGGTGGGGAGCCTTTTATTTGGCACGGTGTAGACCCCATAGTAAAAATTGACAGCACAATAGATTAATATCTGTACAAGAAAATATTTGAGAATGATATGATTACTTTCGCTTAGGACAATTTGCCTTTAAAGCGGATTTTTATGCATGAAACCGACCAAAGCACACATCGCGACTCGTGAAGAGTACAAATAAATCGATGTTTTAGGATGGCCAGCCCAGTCTCCCGAACTCAATCCAATTGATAATTTATGGAATGACATAGAGCATTATGTGGAAAAAAAAACGTAGAACTTAGCAGATTTGTGGACCGAAATTCAAAATGCTTAGAATGCAATTAGGAAGAGACAATGCGAGATTTGAGTTGAAAATTTAAGTATTTTCTATGTACTTAACAGACTGAAGTTATCAAAAATAGAGGATTTACAACTAAATACTAAAATAAGAATTGAATTATGTCAAGGTAAGTTTCAGAAGTCGATGCAATTGATTCGTATCCAGGATAAGAAATATTTTTTTTTTTGCTCTGTTTTCTGTTTTCAAAATAAGAGTGCTAAATTCGTGATCACTATTGTACACATATCTGTAAGTAAATATTTATGTATATTTTTATAAACGTGCCCAAGTATTGTATATATGTACATTTCTATGTGTCTTATTTTCAAATAATGTGTAAAGGTTTGCTTCAATTGGGCTGAGCAATGAGCGTAATCAAAGTGACGATCATATTAACTGCAAACATCTCCTTACAATCTTTTATATGTTCTCTGCTTTGGTTTTTTGTTATTCTTTATTGTCAGCATGCTTGTGCTATTTGATGCGATGGCTGCGCACTCATTCATTCACGTCTGTCCGAATATGTTAACTTGTTGACTAGATGGCTAGTCGCTTGTTGATTTATCAAGAGTGCTCAATTGTTTGGTGTCATTTTTATTTTGCACGCTCAACTATTTGTCACGTGTACATGTATGTATACTTTATAATGTGTAGTGCTGGACATACCTATTTACAGACGTGTGCGCTTGTTTATTTGTATATACACATCCAAATGCACGGATAAATGTAAGCAAGTATGTTCGTTCATTTCGCTTTCCAGCGTGCCAGTTTGTGGGCCTGTATTGTCGATTAGTGTTGCTGCATGCCCGGCTGTCTGGTCGTCTGGGTGTCTGTCTGTGCGACTGTGCTTTCTGCGCCGTGTTCGCGTTTGTGGCTTCTGGCCCACTAAGCGCTTGCGTACAATTTACTCTTGTTGTTGCCGAGCAGCCACAACAAATAACAGACATGGCTAGACACTGTCTCGCCAGTTGCTCTTCATTATCATAAGCGGTGGTAACAGCAACAGCTGCTGTAACGTCTGCAACAATATAACCACCACCAACTACAAAAGCAATAAGAAAGCAACAACATCCGCTGCCTTGAGTTACTACCATGGAATTCCTTTACCTATTAAATTCTTCCCTTTGATGGTGGAAGAATGACATAGATACCTACCTATTTCCTAAAAGCACCAATTTTTTTAGATCAAACCTGTATTTTTTATACCTTATATTATATAATTTTCTACACATATTTATCTAATTAATTATATGTACATATTACATATCCATAGTCTAACTAATTTCAGTTACAGACACTGTCAGTATAGTATTTAGTCATGATATGTAAGTTAGTCTATTTTTAAACTTTTTACCAAAGGAAACGAAGACCCTCTTAGTCAAGTACTTATGTATTGTACTAGTAACTACAACGTCAAGTTAATCAATTATACAAGGGTAGTGTACCTTTAAATTTAAACAAATATTTAATTTTAATTATATTATAATATGAGTTACAAGCAGTTGCTGACCACAGTTATTAAGTTGAAGGAAAGGAAAAACTCTTATGCCCTTTGCTTAGTCTTAAAAAATGCCTTGGATTAATTGGCTTTAAGTGGCGATTTTAAAAAAATATCTCTATCAGTTGACAATGCGGTCTACTCTTAATATGCATCTTAAAAAATAAATAATGAAACTCTTATTTTAGTTTCGTTTACCAAAAACATCATAAGTTTGTATATAAATATGTATTTATGTAAGTAGGCGCAGAATTGATTGTGTTATTGTGGTACATACAATGACACAACAGCAGTATCGACCTACAAAAAGTTCATTAACGGTAGCCATTCAAACATGGCCTAGACAGATCCCAGACAGTTTCCAGACGGTCCAGCTTGTTGTTTGTTGATTACTTCACCTATAGTGGTCTATTTCGGTATATCTGTATCGCTATATATTTATACATAAATACATACATATGTACATTAAAATATTTTTTAAAACTGAATTAGAGGGATCACACAATTATTATTTTGTACAGAGGGGCATCCGCAGTTCAAATTTTTTTTAATTGGGCGTGGTCCCGCCCTCTAATAAGTTTAATGTGCATATCTCCTTTACCACGGAAGCTATAATAACAAAATTCACCGCCCACGTTTAGGTTAAACCTTATATCTTGGGATTTGCTCCACCGATTTCAACCAAATTTGGTACATAACATTATTTTCATATTTCTATGTTATAGTACGAAAATGGACGAAATCAGATACAACTACGCCTATTTCCCATATAACATCAACAGTATGCAAATCAAGCAACAATGATTATATCGTGAATAATGCGTTTAAAGTATGTGACCAAAATTATCTAAATTGAGCCAAAACTCTTCAAGCCCCTAGGTACTGAATATGTGGACGCCAGTGCCTATAGTTGACTTTTTACCGAAAATATCGGTCAACATAGAACAAGGCGGCAAGATCCACAAAGAAATCTAAAACGAGTATACCATTTGACTTTACGAGAGTATAAATTGTTCGGTTACATCCGAACTTAGTCCTTCCTTACTTGTTTTATTTAAAAAACAAGTTTTTGTGTGAATTAGGGAATATACTATATAGATTGAACAATATACAAAAATTACAGACTTCTTCAAATAACATTTTAAAGATAAAGTCTTAATGCAAATGAAGTATTGAAAATTACAATTTCTAAAAGTATTAATTGCAGTGGTTCACTGTGATAACTGTCACTCGAAGCCACGTCAAAGAATTGAAATGCAACTGCAATGCCGGCTCAAACAAACTTCGGTACCGACAAAGCACTGATTGGGACGCAATTGTCGACAGCGAAGGCAACGCTGACGCAGCTACAGAAATACTACATATTCAGATAAATGGCGACCAGACGTAAAATGAGTAAACTTCACCAGACACCATACGCCAGACGCCGCAGCTAGACGCAGCAACAGACTAGCCGATTCTGCATACAATAGCCATAATAATAATAATAATAACAACAACCATTCGACTATAGCAGTTTAGGTGCATGGGTTCGAGCATACTTTACATAAAGATAATGCGTCTGGTATTTTTGACCACTTGTCTTGTCTGCCGGCTTGTCTGGCCATCTCCTTAATGACCGCCCAACCTAAGCCGGTGTTCGTGTGCATTTGAGGACCGCCAGCTGGCTGCAGATGACGTTGCATAAAATGCTAGTATCATTCTACAATAGTTTGTTTGCGAGTGCGCTTTCGTTCATCTGTTTTGCCTTTTCATACTTATGTATATATGTAAGTGTGCTTGTATATATATACATACATATGTGGATCGCGGTGGCCATGATCTGTTTGTTACATATTTACATACAAGTATATAGCAAGTTTTGACCAAGGGTAAAGCAACTGTCCGAGTATATACATATGTATTTAAATGTACATACATATGTACTAAGATATTTATTCATATTAAAATATAACCTTTTCAAATTTTGATTTTTGTGTCGACCACAATTTCTTAAATGCGGGCATAATTCGTAATGATCCACTTACGACAAATATTTTGAAAGTTACAGTTATGGAATTATTATTTGGTTATGTATGTACATAGTGTGTACTTCCTTCTCCTTCAACTTCTGTGTCAGTCAAGAATGATAGAAACGTGTATTACGACAGTTTCGTACCGTTACTTCTCTTGGAGTGCATGTGACGGAAAACATACATTAGTGTATGACGTAATGAACGAAAGGAGGATAATGCTTTGTTTACAATTGTCGTTCTTGCATATTAATATACATTGTATGTGTTTTTAGTTTTATCAGAGGCCAATAGAGATGATATAAAAATATATGAACAAATAAAATCTTCCGAAACATGAGTACTTTGACAGCTGGTTTGTTAGCCAATTATACCTTTAAAAACACCCTTTATCTACGTGCTAACGCGGCATACGATCGAGTAATTAAAAATATCTTGTAGATATGTACAGCATTTTAAAGGCTTATAAATATAGACATGTATTTCATTAACCGTCTCCGATACATCTAATATTCATACATAAGTATGTAGTAAGTACATACAATGAATGATAAAAATAGTATTGCGACATGCGATCAACAATGGCAGGAATACTGTGAAATTTACATTTAAATTGAAATAATCACTTTTATAAAGTCGTGAAAAAATATTAACTTATTAGATTGTAATGAAACATTTTTAAAAATATATAGACAAATATTTGGATAATTTGTATATTACTATCACAATTCGTTGCAGAGAGTGTAATAGTTTTGTTCACCTAACAGTTCTTTGAAACACCTAAAACCAAGCGTGATAATTACTAAGTTATATGTATATGCAAAATTATCCGGACGATAAGTATTGATTTCCGGATATCTCCCCGTCTATTCGTCCGTCTGGTGCAAACAATAACTACAGTAAAACTATTGCAGATGGACACAATCGCACTATTGGCATGCCCACAAAATTGAGTTAATCAAAAACTTTAAAGTGCTATAACTAAGTTACCAATTAAGCTATAAAATTTCGTGCAGATCATCACTGTAAAAATGGGGACTTGTGTTGAAACATTTTGGAAAGTCTCCCCAACAGGCTTTTTGTACATATCTACCTCACTTGGTGGAAACAACAACAAGACTTCTTATTGTGCTATGAAAATGGGTGAAACCTGGTGATAACCACTCCCACCTTCTATACAAAGGCTATGTGAAAAGTAAAGCGTCATATGCATTGTATTTTACAATAAACATGGTACGAAAGGGTTACGTGTAGGCCACTCGCTACTTTTGTGCGAAATCTGATATCTCAACAACTGCTCGACCAATTTCAACCAAGTTTAGTACATAAAATTATTTTGACATATTTATGTGACGGTTCCAAAATGGGCCAAAGCACCACATTCTTTCAATGTGTGCCAACTCTGATATTAAAATGCTTGAAATCGAATTATACATTTTCAAAACCCATCTTCTCCAATCTAACAATATGTCCCGAAGGAAAAATTAGATACAATTTGATGAGTGAGCTACAATATACCTAATACTTAATATGTCGTTTTGTCAAAACTTGAAAACACTCGCCTTTGAAACAGAGAATTGCTAGAGAAGGGCTGATTAAATGATATGATGTGATTACGATGTTTCCAGAAATAGTTTTTTTGTAAACAAAGGTATACTTTGATATATTATGTGAAATTAATTAAATCTATAAAATTGAAAATTCAATTAAGCTACAAAAAAATTTTGGCAACTTGTTCCTCCGATGGAAAGGTGAAAAAACTCTAACGCTCTATTTGCACTATTGTTATTATACAAGTAATCGGACACAACACTCATTTTTAAAAATCCATCTTGCAACATGTTACTACAGAAAATAATCGTTTTCTTCAATCATAAATATGAAACTACGAGTATAATACTATACTACAATTTTTAATAAAGTGAATTTTATTTAGTAATGCATATATTAAAAGTTGTCCAATATTTTATTCGAAATGGTCATCTTTTGGATTCCTACAAGCCCAAAAACGATTCGGCCATTGATCAATAGCGGCACGCACAGTTTCTATTGGTATTGATGGCGCTGCTCGCCCAAAGATTTTTTATGGCACTCCTAATTTCTATGGGATATTTGACAGACTATGTTCTCCACCTCTGACCATAAACTGTAGTCCAATGGATTCAGATATGGACTTCGCGAGGACCTATCGTCTGCAACTAAACCACGAACATTGCTTTTAAGCCACTACAGGGTGGATTTTGGCTTGTGTGCTGAAACAGAATCGTGCTGGAAGATCCAATGCTCCTTATTGAAGAGAGTATTGCTTAACCACTTAATCACGCCTTCTAAAAAAATCTTCTGGTACACTTTTGCCCTGGTTTTAACCCCCTTTTCACCGAAATGAAGAGGTGTAACGCCTTTACAGGAGACTCCCGCCAAACTATTACAGCAGCTGGACGCTGAAGCTTGAATTAACATTAACTGCCACGCCCATAAAACGCCATTAATCAAAAACAAAAAAATTGCCATAACTAAGCTCCAATATAGGATACAAGACTGTTATTTGTACACGGGATCAAATTAGGGAGGGGCATCTGCAGTTAACATTTTTTGTTGTCCCGCCCCCTTATAGGGCGAGAGACATTTAATTTTATCTCTGGGATGGTATGACATGACTTTATAGGAACCACGTTCAAAATTAGACAGTGGACGTGGCACCACTTTCAGGTGAAAACCCATATCTTGGGATCTGCTTAAGGGGTTAGGGTAGTCAGAGTTTTTAAAAAATCATTCAAATTTTGCATTTTCGTTAAGTGTAATATCTTTAAAGTATACCTTTTGAGTTATTCGACTAACAACAAAGAGTGCTCGGGCACTTCAAAGCGGTCGGGAGCAGGTAGCTAGCGGCAGCTGCAAAATACTTTAAATGTGTTTCTCTCAAACTATGTTTTTTTAATTGGTGACAACTGTAACTCAAAAACCGCTTAATAGATTTTAATGAAATTTATACAGCTTTTAGAATACATAATAATCTCGGGCCTGATCTATTTAAAAAACTAATTTCGTGGCTTCAAGTCAAAACATTTTATATTAATGCCATATTACTACTTTTGTAAAATAACATAATTTAATAGCAAAAAAATTGCTGAAAATTCTTATTTTCTTGCGCCTCTGACTAACACTAACCCCTTAACCGA